GTGTAGGAGTAGTGTTAGAATATTCAAATTGCAACCCATCAATATGGCACTTGTAAACATAAACAGCACACCAATTGGATCTAGTGGGGAAAAGACAGTAAAAGTGAAGTGTCAGACTCAGCTATTATCAGAGGCAAATGACCTGCTGTTTGGAGCAGAAATTGGATTGGGTAGCTAAATTTAGACAGGCCATGAATTAAGACAAATCACTGATGCACTAGAGGAATTGTGTACTAAATATGCCTTTTTGTTCATGACAAGAAAGAGGCAAAACTGTAGATTACAGGGAATGCTACTCTAAAATTCTGCTAATTCTCTTATACACTGAGAGACTTTATGAATCACTGACTCAAGGAACTGGAATAGGAAGAGAAAATCTCCCATGTTGCTTACAATGGTTCTGATTAAGCTACATTTATAAGAATGCCATGGAATGAGGTTATGCTCCAACTGTATTGTAATTCATTGTGGTTTTGCCTGTATAAACAGGACCAAGCCAATTTAAGGGTACTGTGCTACAGCCCTGATTTTTTCAATCATAGGTTAAAGGGTGTTGTTTTTGTGTTTGGAAGTAGCCCTTTCTAGAGGTCAGAACACAATTATTTTTATTTTTTTTCTAATTATGCTGTCCTCTTTTCCACAACTATAGATGGTTTGTAAGCTGCCTCCTTCCTCATCAGCAACAACAAAATCCAAACAAAAAGCAATTGGAAGAGGTTTGCACAAGAAGTAAAATTAAAACACATTGTTTAAAAATGATGTAGGATAGAAACGGCAGAGCTGTCATTAAAAACTATTCCAGATCCAAAAAGTTCCTAACCTGCTTTTCACCCTACACTTTCATGTTTAAGATCTCAATATTCTGATCTAATTTTCAGGAATTGGTTTTTTGTTAATTTTCTCTGAGGTTTGAATTTTTGTGTAGTTGTTTTGTTTTGAGGGTTGTTTCTGTGGGAAGAACAGGTCAAAGAAACAGTTTTGACTGTGTAGAGATTCATGGATATGCTGATTACAGCTGAGTGAATAAAATAAGAAAACTTGAAAATATATTCATATCAAATTAACTAAAACATTCTGGGTCCATTTGAAACAATATTTTGGGGGTTTAAACATTTTTTCTGATTTTGTTTGACTTTTTTTTTCAAATTTTTCATTTGATTCAGTCTTTTTACGGTGTTTTTCAGCCTTTTTTTTTGTTTTCTTGAAAAAATTGGCCACATTTGAATTTGAAATGTCATTTTGAAACAAAAGTCAAGTTTAGACTCATTTGAAAAAAGATCAGTTTTTTCCTCAGCCAAAACTATTTGTCAAATTCTACCTGAATTTGCATGTAGATTCAGAGTACCAAAAAATGCACTTTTTGGGGAAAAAAATCTGTTAGTTGAAAATAATTCATCCAGCTCTAATTGTGATATCTCCTGGGAAGTAAGAATGAGTCCCTAAGTACAGTATTTGGAGTGCTGAAGTCTCTCAAATATATATGTGGTAAAAAAAATTGATAACTAACCATAAACGTCATTGAAATCTCAGGATTCAAGAGAGTAGGGCACCTTCTTTAGCAGTTCCCAAAGTGCAACAACTGTCTTTCACAGGCACCATATTAGCAGGATATTCTGTATAAACATCTCTGGGTTCTTGCTAATGCATATGATCTTTTATGGCTGCCTGCTGTAAGCCAGACACATGGGTATAATACATATACACTGAAATATCTTCCTTCCAGAGCAAGCTTTGCTCCTTGAAAGCCCTTATGAGCAAAAAGTGACAATGTGAAAAATAACACCTCCTTATACCACAGCCCTGCTTCCTGGGTAGATTAGTTGTATCTTCTGACTTTACTGACATAAATACTGTGGTTAACATTGCAGAACAAAGTCAATACAGCTATGGGAAAGCGAGGTAGAGTCTCTCCTGGTTGTTACATCATCAACAGAATGTATAATTAAGTTCCAAATACAAAATTGTACATATCAGTTGCACTTGAACTACACCTCTAAAGGCTGGTCTATACTTAGCCGCTAGTTCGGCGGCTGGAAATTGAACTTCCTGGTTCGATTTATCGCGTCTGGTCTGGACGCGATAAATCGAACCAGGAAGTGCTCGCCGTCGACTGCGGTACTCCAGCTCAACGAGAGGAGTACCGTGGAGTCGACGGGGAGCCTGCCTGCCGCGTGTGGACCGTGTCTGAACCGCGGTAAGTTCGAAGTAAGGTATGTCGAATTCAGCTACGTTATTCACGTAGCTGAATTTGCGTACCTTACTTCGACTTGGGGGGTAAGTGTAGACCAAGCCTTAGATACCTCAGTTGGAAAGTTTTACTGGTGATTATACCTGAGCTAGAGTGAATAGGGCTGGCAATTATGAAACTTCGCTACTTATAAACATGGGGTACCTGCAGTGGAGCAATTGAGAGCTAACAAACATGAAAACCTTTGCTGCCATATGTAAGGAGTCAGTTATCATAGTAGGACCACATTTTAAAAGAGTACAGGGCAAAAAGCAATAGAGAAACTTGGTTACGAGTAGAGTTTAGGCCTTAAAGCAAGAAGTTAGATGAAGTGTAGATCCGAATCCAAAGCTTGGGAATGTTTGGATCTAGTGTGTTGATTCGTGCCTCTGTCTAATTTCAAACATAAAGAAACTCATTGGTCCTGTAACAGATATAGTAGAAGTACACTGAAATGTGAAAATTTTTAAATATGCATATGGATGAGATGCTAGCTAGTAGAACTGGCCAGGAAATATTTTTTTATAGGAATAAAGAGTACCAGAATACATTTTTTTTTTTAAATTTCATCAAAAAAATTTCTTCACACATTTCTGTGTTTTGACTGAAAACCAGCAGTTTTTGGTTCTCAGCAACCCTAGAAACAAACCACTGAGGCCAAAAAACTGAAATGTTCTGCTTTATGTATACCTCATCTCCACCCCCACCCCCTGATAGTCAGAAATTGACATTTACCTCAGAAATAGCTGTTTTAACAAAAAAGGCATTTTTCATGTAAAAATATGTTGAATGAAAATTTTCAATCGTCTCTACTAGCTAATCATTTGTAAGACTTTGAGGTGTTCCACAGGATCAGTAGGAATAATGTCTGCTTGGGAAATTACTAGCTTTTCCAGCAATAACACAAATCAAAATGTATTCACTACTGAAGTTAACACTGAGAGTGTACTAGAGACTTCAGATTCACAATGAAGTTACATCAAGGATCGATTTGTCCCAATATGTCAACCAGCTCTAAGCATTCTGAGACATTTCCCAAAAGACAATATTTGTAAAAGAAAGGGAAAACTCTTTTTATTATTCTTCATTGTATCATTTTTATTTCTTTAGAGAAACCTGCAGCATCAAAGGGCTGGAGAGGAGTCTGGTAGGTACCAAGTAATCACAGAATCCCATTCTCAGCAGGGCTAATCAGTTAAGACCTGATCTTGAACCACTGAAGTCAATGTGTGTTTTGTCATTGACGTCAATAAATACAGGATCAAGCCCTAATTGAGAATGTGTTCTAGTGTGGTTCATTCAGTAGTTGATTGTGCTGTGTGCTTTCTAGGCTGCTGATGCTGCATGCGTGTGTTTGCACCTGTGCACATAGGTCTGGGATAAATCAGAACATCTCTACTTCCTTTTGACCACATTATTTTTATTCTGCTTCCTAATAAAGTGGCTGCTATTTTTTTCCAACTTTTTTCTGAACTGTCTTATTCTTTACTCCAACTACATTATGTCAGCTATTTTTGTTGGTAAAGATGCCAGTCTCGTATAGATAGAAGGAAAGGCCTTCAAGCCTCTTCATCATGGCTGTGTGTTTTCCTTTACAAGTATCAGGTGGTGGTTTGCAGCTGCTGGTACCGGGGGGAATACATGATAAGCTTAGAAAAAGAAACGTTTATTTAGCGTGATTATTTAATTTACAAGCCTGTTTCTCAATGGTTGTACTCAGGAACTATTTCTATTTACATTGCTGTGGAGTTCTCATTATGTGCAACATCTTTTATATGCAGTTTCATTTCTTTATCATTTATAAACATAGATAGATCGATTAGATAGAATCACTATAAAGCTAAGACGTGATTGTGAATTATTCTCTGGAAAACAGTTACCTTTTGATATTGTTTCATATGAAGTCAGAATAATAAATGGCTATTTTTATTTTCTTTGTCAACTGGTACATCTACATTCTTTGAAATTTCATAAAGTCTGCCTACAGAACAACAGATATGGTAATTCACCATCATCCTGCACTGAGTTTGCTGTAAATTACAATACAGTACTTAATCAAAAAAATGTCTTAGGAACAAAGTGAGTTAATACGAGGTTCCATTTTCAATCACTTTTAATATGAGTGTATAATAACTGCCTTGCAATGTAATCTGAATATCAAGTTTTTAGACTTATGCACATATTATTGTAACTCCTGATAATGAGTAATAATTTAGTATTTTAAGGAATCTTTAATAGACTCAGATCAAGAAAGTTTCCTCTAAATGTATATAAAATATTAGATGGAAGAATTTTACAAACAAATTTAAAATATGATTGTAGAATTCTATTTAACTAAATGTATTAGTTTTAGAAGGTGAACTATTTGCTGAACAATCTGAATACAGACTTCAGTAAGCAGAAGATAGAAGCATAGAACACTAATTGAATGCCATTGAGACATTTTGAGAAAACAAGGTAATGTCATATTTTTCTGCACAAGATATTTTGTTCGTATCCACATCCTAAATGAGCCTTAGTTAAAGGAATAGCTTGGACTATAATATCATATCCTTTTGCCCCCAATACAAATGTTTGCATTTAAAATAAAATATAATAATAAAAAAAACCACTAGCTCCCTTTTTTTTTTTTGAAAGAACTTTCTGAAGAAAAAGTTGCAGTTTATGACATCTTGTTCCTTTGTGGATGAACACTATAGGAATCCCTTTGAACTTTAGTCCAAACTTAAAAAGGAGTTTCATTTCATAAGCCATTCAGAGATACAGTACATACCTAAAGCCAGTAGGTAGAAGCCTATAATAGTCTCTCCTTGTTCTGAGACAGGAGGCTCTTTGTTCAGAAAGGTGATGTTGTTGTTCCTCCACGGTGCCTGTTGAGAAAACTGGAGAGACATTTTCAGGCAAAGCCCGTGACCCAGAACTTGCCCTTTCTCCCCCCCCACGGTTAGTCTCAAATGCCCAGTAAAAGAAAATGGTCTCTGGCTTTCTTAAACTTCTGCTCCTTGCATTCTAGGAAGCGGTGCACTGAGACTGAAACTAAACAGGGAAATCTCAAGAGACAAGAAAGAGCTTTGCAGCCCTCTGACCTGTTCTTATTTGCTAATCCTATCTATTAATACAGCCCATGAATCTGGGACCAGACCAAGGCTGCAGATTTCCTTATATCCCTGGTGCTGCTAAATGCAGAAATCTTTAGTGACTGGAGAGAGTATATTAGACAAAGTAATGATCATTCTTTAAAATACAACTATATGTCATATAATATAATAACCCTAATGATATATACACACACACACGTCTGCACAAGTGTATATATTATTTGTAAAAATACCATAATGAACCTGCTCTGCCCTCACTGAAGACAATGAAGATTACCATTGAATTCAAATGAAGAAGGTTCAGGCCCATATTTTATGAGGAGAAATATATTTTATGGATGCATTTTACTACATTCTGTGAGCTACCTAGGAGTCTCCTGAAAATTGTCACTGAATAATACTGTGCTCCACCGCTGGTCCATTTGCTCAATTGCACTAAAAATCATCAGTTTCACTTTGTGAAATTGTGAGCTAAAGCTTTGGAACAAACGTTTTGAATCTGGGCAGATGATGTAGTTTCAAGGTGGATGTGCATGTTGATTTCTGAGCAGAATCCTCTCTGAAACAGCAGCACTATAGTAAGTGCCTAATGAGCCCTGACATGTGATGTGGGATTCCATGTCAGGTTACCACTGCCAGGCAAGAAAGTTCAGACTCTTACCAGTGTGTCTGTGTATCCCACCTAAACTCTCTGAATGACTTTCAAATGTTACTTCTGGTAGATTTATTGTGGGCCACATTAGCTCCAGTGTGAATAACCTAACCCATCAGCTTTATTCTCATATAGCAGAGGAAATCAGTTTGCTTCAATGCAAATAAAAGTGTTCCATAGGCAGGGCTGCTGTTAATTAGAAAAAAAAACATTATTTTTTTCTGTTTTGTGGGCAATATGAAATAGTGTGGGTCTGATTTTCAGAGTGCTGAGCACCTGCAGCACTTCCACCAGAATTGGAGATGCACTGTGCTGCAGAAAAATCAGATTTCTCTCATTTTGAAAGCAGCCACTGCATGTGATTTCAGGGGCTCACCATTTGTTTTATTTAGTCTTCACTGAAGATACAGTCTTCTAATGATTATTAGATCTTTTGGATGCATTGGCCCAATTATAGACTGGATTCTGATATCAATTACACTGATTTAATCCTGGATTAACTCCTTGGAACCAATGGAATTACTTCAGATTTTCATCAGTGCAACAGAGATCAGAATCTGCCCCCACATTTAGCTCTACCCAACTCCCTGCTCTGAGGTAACTACTTATAATACCCCCCGGATGTGACTGATGTCTTATATACAGTAGGGGTGGAAGTTAGATGCCTAAATACCTTTGTGAAGCTCATGTTCGGGTTTTTTTTTGTACTGGCATAGCAAACCCACGTAGCTGCATCTGTGCACATCCTTAGCATAGATACTTTGCACTGGTGTAAACTGAGATGTGCACTGGTACAGTTCACACTGGTTTCAAACTGGGTTAAACCACAGTAGTGCAAGTCACGGTTTTTGTTGCTGCGGCATGTCTACACTAAGGGCTTGCACCGGTACCGGAGATACCAATGTAAAGATTATTTGAGCCTTATAGGGTCAGCCTAAAACTACCTCATTACATGAAGAAAAGCAGAGCTTCTGCTTCATTGAACTTCAGCTTTCAAAAGTTAAACTTCATCCTTACTGAAAAGACGCTGCATTATGAATCCTGGGTGTGATGAACACTAGAAAGAGGAAAGCCCATTTCACTACAGAGGTGGTTTACTGGGATGGTACAATCAGCCCAATGCCTACCACTAACCAAGCTATTATTAAAAAAAAAAAGCCCAGATCAAGGATGTCCTTGGCTCCATGAGTGAGTTTGTCTTGTCTCCTTTGCTGCAAAAACTCTCTGGGCCCTTCCCCTAATGATCCTAGCCCTGCACTGATGAAGAGAGTCCTGCTCAGCACTTACTAGCAGGTAATCCCAGCCTGCTTTGCTTCTTAGACGGCTAACAGGCTTTTCTCCTCAGGCCTATTAATACAACATATAAATACATAAAGTCATACCCTTTATAGACGTTCAGCATCATCAAGATACAGCATTATATACACACTCTAATCCCTCTATGCAGCAAATAGAATGCTGAAAAAGCCAAAATCCAATTCATAGTGAAGAAACCCAGGTTTTTCCCTCTGAGGGACTCCAAACAGCTAACCTACCCCACTTGTGCCACTCCCCAGAGGAAGAAGCCTGTTCCTACACGCCTCAGTCTCAGGCAGCAGACCAGCCTCAGGCAGCTGTACTTGGTGAAAGGAAGACAAACATTTACTTGCAAATCCCTCTTAATCAATTATTTGTTTTTATCTCTGCTGCCGCAGACTAATACCTTACTTCAGGCTTTTCCGTCATTTGTCATTAAGCCTGTCATCCTGAGGGGGAAAAGAAAATAAAGAGGATAATAATAGAAGATGTTGCAGCATCTTAGAACAGGCAGAGGAAGATACATCGACTTTTGTCGGCATGTAGACAATCCCTTCTCCTTAACTGCTAAGGGGGAGGGGAGAGAGGGGACCCACATAGACTCAATTCATCTTGTTTCAGAGACAATAGAATAGGTTTAGCCAAAGCCAATTGCTGTATCAGAAGGTGGGACTCTTGCTTTTGCCTTAATGCATGTCTCTGAAATGACTTCAACCCCTGGGCCAAGATTTTCAAAGACAGGCACCTACATCCATTTAGGCATCTAAATAAGTGGCCTGATTTCCACAAGTGCTGAACACCTACCAGCTCCCATTGAGCAGGGTTCACGTCCCAGCTCCATTTAGCACATGGCGACCCTGTCCCAAGTACCGAAACACAGTGCTGCAAACACTGCAGCAAAATGAATCAGGACGTGAATTATACGGGTATTCAAAACCCCTACAGTGTACTCTAACGGCCAAAGTACTGGGTGACCATGGCCACTTCCCCACGCCTTAAGTGCTCATTATGTGTTATCCCCTCCACAGCAACCAATGAGGCAGCCCTGACTTACCCTCCATCCTCTCTCCACCACTATTGAGCTAACTAGTGATACTAGCAGTGGCTTGTCTTCCATAGCCTTTGTACTTACCTGTGGACAAGGTAATTATGCTCAATCCCTATGTATGAGTAAAAAGATTCTTTTGCCCTCAGCCCTCCTGTGCAACTATGTACCCAATCTTATCTAACCACTAGACTGTAAGCTATTGCAGACAAGAAGAGAACCTGTTTCCACTGACGTTAATGGTCATTTTTTCCATTGATTTCAATTGAAGCTGTATCAATCACTATTCCTAAATCCTCTATTTGAAGCGCTTGCCCCCAGTACCTGGCTTTGGTAGATATCAAATAAAAAAGAGTTAGATTCACTGCCACCTATTACTCTACATGTAAACTAGGTACATTTTGTTTGGGACTTAGAGACCTCTGGTACTGTACCTCTGGCTACAGATTTCTTAATGCTAAATCATTTATGAAATGTGGAACATCACCAGTGCCAGTACAGAGCCCTGGGGGACACTGCTATTCCTCTCTCTCCATTGTGAAAAGTGATAATTTATTCCTACTCTTTGTTTCCTGTGCTTTAACCAGTTACTGATCCATGAGAGGACTTTCCCTCTTATCCCATGACTACTTAGTTTGCTTTAAGAGCTGTTCATCATGTAAATCATGTTCGTTTATGTGTCTGATAATTCTGTTTTTTTATTTGTTTTTTTTTACTATAGTTTCAACCAATTTGCCTGGTACTGAAGTTAGACTTACTGGACTGAAATTGCCAAGATCGTCGCTGGAGCCTTTTTGAAAAATTGGCATCCTAACTATCCTCCAGTCATCTGGTACAGAAGCTGATTTAAGTGATGTAAATTGATTTATGTTATAGCCTCAGGATTGATTTACATCTGAATTATAGAATTCTTTGTCAGTACTTGTATATAATAAAGAGAGAAAGCCTCTTCTCTGAGTATAGAGCATAGTAGAGTTCTTCCTGGTCTAGCATCACCATTACTGTCTTTTCCAAGTCTTCACGTTTTGCAGTGAGGGACTGTAATTTGCTATGCTTCACAGTTTCCTCCATAAGCTCTGTGGTGGTATTTTCTGCCAAGGTCATGCTTTTTGGCAAACTCTCACACTGTGTTTCATATGTCACCAATTCCAGCCTTTTATTCTTATTCCAGCACATGTCACTTCAGTGGCGATCAAATTTACCAACGACACCCAAATTGTCATCATGTGGATTTGCTAATCTTACAAAGTGCCCTGGAGAGATTAAAACAGTGGGGCTGCTGGCAATGAGACAATTTTAAAAAGAAGAAAAATAAAACACCGTTGTGAAATGGAAGAATCCATGTGTGGGAAGGCATGTGAGTTGAGATTGATGTGGATGTACATGCGGGTTTAACTGTTGATTTTCTGGATGTTAGTGGGTCTATGTTGATACAGTTGAATCCCCTTAACTGTAAAATAATTTCTGGGGCCCAGAGTTTAAGTGAATCTCATTTCTAGGTATTATTCTCTAAGGAAATATTTCTTTAGATCCACTACAAAATATCTCTCACTGAATGTCCAATGCCAAGGTGGTTCTCTGACTTGCCTAGGGCACTGATCCATGTGGTAGGTGGCAGTTCTCCTTCCAGGATATTTAAATTATATGATGGTAATTCTATGTTTAGTGATAATCCTTTGGAATGAAGGAAGCATCATCTCTGTTCGCAAAGGTTTTTCCTCTAAGTCTGGGAAGATGTGTATTGTATTCCTTTTTGTTTCAGTTGTGAGTGCTTTAGGCCATAATGCTGCTGAATTTCTACTG